TGGGCTCTCTCTCTCTCTCTCTCTCTCTCTCTCTCTCTCCCTCTTTCTGTGTGTCTTAGGGATGGTAGCTAATAAATCAGAATCTGAATCCAAATATAGACCTAGGAATGCCATGGGGGAGTGGTCTACCATCAAATGGCACTCGGTCACCTTTCACCTGCTGGGGGTCCCGAACTGCAGAATATGCCAAGTCTCATACACACAGGCTCCAGGGTAGCCCTCTCATCTTCCCTGGAATCAATCAATGGATCTCTCTTTCCCTTTGCTTTTAAATTTGTATTAAAAAACTATAAATTGACAAGCACCACTAAAACTACCAGAAATTTGCAAAGATGAACTTTTATCTATTTTCTTGAAATCATTTTGTAATAAAAAATAAATAAAACATTAATGGTGGGGCTGGGGATTTAGCTCGGTGGCATAAGAGCCTGCCTGGCAAGTGCCTAGTGGTCGTGAGTTCGATCCCCGGTACCAAAAAACAAAATGGTCATTTAAAGTGTCCTAAATTGACTTGTGGGCCATGGTTTGATATTTTGAAATACATATATGGTGATAGTAGTGTTTCATGAATGAAAATGCACAAAGTGTGTGTTTCTGTGTCCTAGTGGTTTTGTTGGGATGCTGGCTTTTCTCCTCAATGGGATATTTTTGAGTTCCATTGATGTTGGTACATGTGGGTCTTGGTTAATTTTTTTTTTTGCTGAAGTTATATTTTGGATAATCTGATGGATATGAACATTATTTCTTGACTTCATTTGTATTCCTCTGATTACTAGTAAGGTTGGATCTCAAACATTTATAATTTAGGTTACCTCAGCTGTGTTTTGGATCTGGTTTTCCCACAAAGGTTCCCATGTTGGAAGCCAGATCTCCAGGCTGGTGATGTTGAAAGAAGGAGGATTTTTAAGAGGTGGGGTATAGTGGAAGATGATTAGGCTGTAGGGGTTCCATCTTTGGGAGGGAATAACGTCCTCCCACGAAATGAGTCGGTTCTCACAGGACTGGATTAGTTCCCACGAGGCTGGGCTGTGATACAGTGAGTTTGGCTTTCTTGGCTCTTTCTTGTTTTTGCTCCTTCACACTATGCCTCTGCACCTGCCTGCTTATCTGCCATATTGTGACACGGCCAGGAGGTCCTCACAAGGTGACAGCACTGTACTGTTAGGAATTTCCAGTCACCAGAATTGTGGGCCAAGTAGACCTGTTTTCTTTGCACATTGCCCAGCACTGGGTGGTTCATTAAAACAACATAAACAAAATGTCTTCTATTGGGCTGACCACTCATGTTCTTTGTCCATTTCTCTGTTGAGTTTTCCTTTTAAATATTCTAAATTCTAGTCCTTTGCTGTGTCCACTTCAAACACCTTCTCTGAGGTCATGGCTTTTTTACTTCTTTGTCTTCAGTGTCTCTCTTACTCTTAAAGAATAACTCGTGCCAGCCAGCCTTTGTGGCCTGTGTTCTGCATGCTTTATCCATTGTATCCTCCAGCCACTCTGTGGGCAGAGCTGATTATGCCTGAGGAAGTGTTGAGGTCAGAAGGGTCAAGTAGCTGACGCGAGGCGTACAGATCTTGAAGCTGTGATTCAAGACCTGTTCAGCCTGACTGTAGAATCGAGTTCACACACTCTACACACTATGAGAGTTTGTTTAAGTAAAGAAAATTTCATTACAAACCGTTAGCAGGACACATCTTCATTCTCACTCATGGCTGTATATCTCCCAGAGCTTTAATAATACTGGTCCCCCACCTTAGAAATGGTTGTATGGTCTAGGATACAGCCTGGACACAAGCTTTTCTTTTGAAGTCTCTCAATGCAGTCAGGCCTGAGTACTTCCTTCCTATACTTTGTAGTTTTATTGAATCTAGAAGATCTAGCAGGTCTCAGTCAGGGAAAGCCTAATTCACTGCACCAGGCTAATATTGTAAGTGCTATACAAGGCTTCAAAAAATGGTCTAGAAAGTAGTAAATAAAGAGGGAAGAAAGCAGGCTGTGCAGAAAACCTCAAGATACTGAGCTAGAGTGCTTTTGTTCTATTACGTATTGAAGACCTCCTGCAAAGGGAATACAGAGTCTTTACATCTTCCACATCTTGATGGCTGAATCACTCATAATTCTCAAGTCCCAGCCAAGGTGGAAAGATGCTGGGGTTTCAGGTACCCGCGGAGCCCTCCAAGTCTGAGCTGGGGCTTGGGCTTGCCTGAGTCAGCCCTTGGCTCTAGAAACACTGGCTGTGCTGCCCTGAGGGTCCTCCCCATCACCAGAGTATTCTAATTCTCTTAATAAGAAAGGATTTTATAAAGTAAAAATAATCTTAAAAAGATCTTTAAACGGCAAAGAATGTAGAAAACTCACAGAGAGTCATTAAACACAGAAAAGATATCCTTTCCTCATTCATAATAATATAAGTACAAATTACTATGTGTTATGGCTTGTGTTGAGTTTTCCTCTCAAAGCCTTATGCAACCGTATGTGGGGCTTTTTCAGAGGTGGCTGGATCTAGAGTGTGTGATGCTGGGAGTGGTTCATGGTGCAATGCTAGGCTCACTAGGAATAAGAATGTGAGTGCCATCTGCCCTAAGGGACCTGAATAAAATGAAAGGGGCAGAAAGGCCCTGGTAAGGCCCTGCCTTGCTGGTTTTGCAACCTTTTGCCTGCCATGAACTGTTTCTGCTTTGGAATGCCTCTGCCACTCCACCTTGCCTTGGAGCCAGCTGGCTATGGACTGAAACCTCTACAAACTGTGAGCTAAATAAACTTTTCCCTTTAACTTCAGGTGTCAGATATTTTGTCTCGGCACTGAGAAAAGTGCTATGTGAGGGAAAACACTTTACCAACCAAATTGGCTGAAGGGTTTACAACAGACCACATTAGAGTGAACTGTATGAAATCGCTGGAGATGCTGCCTTCAAAACTGACCATTTCACAGTGCGACCTACTATGTTGTTTGCCAGAGTGTAAATTAGTACAATAGTCACCAGGATAATTTGGCAATGTTGATAAAAATAAGTACATTCTAAACATTTATTAAACAAATGTATATAATATAGAAAATATCATAAAAGGATAAAGAATTGCATAAATATCTGTAGTAGGAAAATTTGGGGAACCATTCATGTTTCCCTCAACAGGTTCTACCATGTGCATGATTCAGTGGAATCTGTGAGGGCCTGTGAAGAATGAAGAGGCTTTTTTGGTGCTGTTAGAGAATATATTCAGTTTATTGTTAATGAGAAAAAGAAAGCTGCATAGCAGTATGTATAATATTCTACCATTTACGCTTGGACAAAAAGTGTGTGGCTGGGTTGAGATGTGTGAGATACATACATACATAAGTATATGCAGAATATTTCTGGAAAAAACTAAGTTGGGAAGAAGAAAGGAGACAATTTAAAGGCATGAATGGATGGAGACTTGCCTTTTATAAGAATATCCTTCTGTATCATTTGAATATTTTCCCATATATTATTTTTTAAAGAAAATGACCTCTTGCTTCATGCTGCAGATAGATTATATGCACACCCATGTTTATAGCAGCACAATTTGTAATAGCCAGATCTTGGAAACAACCTAAATGCCCATCGACTGAGGACTGGATAAAAAAGATGTGGTGCTTTTATACAATGGAGTACTACTCAGCTATAAAGAATGATCACATTGAGATTTTTATAGGTAAATGAATGTAACTTGAGACCATACACATAAGTGAAATAAATCAAACTCCCATGTATAAATACTGTATTGTCTCCCTAGTGTAAGAAATGTTAAGAGTACATAAGATACAAAATCCTCAATAAATACTATGAAAGGGTAAGAATCTGCTCAAAGGGGGAAAATAATATCTCAGGGAAAAGGAGAATAAAAAAGAAGGGCAAAGAAAAAATATCTAAATTTGTATGAACGCACTTAAGATAGCTAAGATGATTGTGCTACAAATTCTGTTAGATCTTGGAACAAAACAGTTGACATTAATAAGACTGGATCAATCTTGCGTCTGGTAATCTGAGGAACTCTTTTGAAGTTCACTATGTAAAATAACAACCTTAGTTATGTTCCTACCACCTTGTTTCGAAGGCCTATATCGTCATTGTTTTGGGCTCTTGTTACTGTTATTTGTCTTTTTTGTCTCATGTTTTTCTAGTAATTTGTTTTGTTTTGTTTTGTTTTTCCCTCTAATACAGAAAGGATAAATGTACATATAGAGGCTTATATGTGCCTAGAACTTCTCCTAAACAGTTTACAAGAATCAATTGTAGTATGCATGATGAAATGAACAGCTATGTTGAAGACAAACAGACATTATGGTATCCATTGCTGATTCTGTATTGTCATGCTGTGAAATCCAGTAATGCTATTATTCTTTGTTCAGAGTGATTATAGTCCGTTTTGTATTGTTTAACTTCAACATACATGAAGGTATGGACAGTTATTTTGAAGAGAACAAGAGACATTATGGTAGCCATTATTGATTTTTCTACTGTCTTGTTTTGAAGGCCTGTAATGCCTTCATTACCCTGTTTTGATCAGTTTTATACTATTTTGTTTTGTATGACTTCATTGTGTTTGAATATATAGATAATTATTTAGAAGAAAACAAGAGACATTATGGTAGCCACTGTTGATCTCCTGTTGTCTTGCTTTGAAATCCGTGTTACTTACATTATTTTCTTCTGATCTGCTTTGTTCTGTTTTGTTTTACCCTCGTTAAAAAGCACAAATCAAACAGTCTGGAGTTACACATGTCACTGGTTGCTCTTATGTGAAGTCTGCCTCCCACCCACAGGATATTAAAAATTAGTTGGGCAATTGTGGGAGCAGCAATGTTCTTTTCAAATCGGATAAAACTTTATTGCTAAGGGAGAGCCACATGGTGGAGATGGTGGGTGGAAAATTCCAGACATCTCCTGGGGCAAATTCGGTTCCAGCATCAATAATCATGGTTTTCCAAATGTGACTCTAGAACATGGAGAAGGTCGAACTAACACCAACCTCAGACCAAGTGTATCCAGCAATTTATTTCCAGAAAGAGACAAAAGCTGAAGTGCTTTTAACAAGGGGAAAGGGTCTGTTCAACATTTTCTTGCACAATGTCGCTGCTGCAAAAATTATACCTGTGGGGAGAGAGTTACAGCATGAAGTTCTTTTGCTGGTGGAAATGTGACGCTGAATAAGTCAACAGTACCCCCTCCCCCACTCAGTCCCTTTGACTGAAGAGCACTATGACACCAAGCAGGAGAAACACCCCTATCCTGATGCCCTCTTAATATGCTGAAAGGGAGTCAGCCACACCAAAACAGAGCTTATAACTGGGGTCTCTGGTGGGCCTGTCACTCTTCCCCAGCCATGAATTCCAGGATGGAGGATTTTCTCCATTCAATCAGGATCAGAGGCACTCTCACACAGTGCCTCCAGGAATGTAGAACATGCCAGCCACTCTGGAAACAGTCTTACAGTTCCTCTAAAGGTGAGGCATGGTTATCATAGGACACAACCATTCTGCACCTAGCGGTCTCCCCATGAGAATGGAAACATAGGTTCACATAAAAACTGAGAGGTGAGGGGGCATAGCAGCATTAAAATAGTTTCCAAGTAGAAACAACACAGAGGTCTATCGACTAATACACAAAATGTGTTATGTGCATAAAATGGAATATTATTTGGCAATAAAGAGAATGAGGTACTGACACACGCTGTTTAAAGAACCTTGAGAACATTATGGTGAGTGGAAGAGGCCAGTTACAAAGGGCTGCACATTCTGTGATTCCATTCATATGAAATACTCAGAATAGAAAAATCTGTAGCCGCAGGAAGGCGATTGGTGGATGCCTAGGGCTGGGGAAGAGGAATGTGTAAATCCAGGAATGATGGCTAAGGCATGTGGGGTTTCTTTCTGGAATGATGAAAATGTTCTGAAATTAATTGTGATGATCACTGCACTGTTATGTGAATATATCAAAAGCTATAGACTAGTACACTTGAAAGGATGAATTCTATGGTATAGAAATTATATGTCGTGAAGTTTGAAAGATAAAGAAGACTATCGGCTTGGAGAGATGGAGCCTGGTCAGGCTGGGGCGATCACCAAGCCATGAGAGTGAGGGTGCTTCTATTAGTGACTTAGTGAGATCCTGTCACAAAATATTCCCCTTCCATTGTCAGGTCTTTGCCAAAGGGATACCATGTGCTAAGTCAGCTTTCTCAGGGCTTACCTTCAGGATGCCGCCTCTTGATGAGAGAGCCCATCTGTGGGATGAGGACTGTGGTGCTTGGGACACACTGCGTGTGAGCAGTTCTGTGCTAATAATTCTACCCCCACCTAACTACTGTGGGGTCCAAGCAGTTCCACAGGGTGTGGCACTGCCAGTCACCTCGGACTCCTCCGCTCCCCATGCATCTGTGTGAGCGGGTGGGCATCACGGAAAGAGCACTGAGTTAGGCGTCAGAAGACCTGGCACCCAGCTGCTGTGCCTCACTCCTATTCTGCACCTGAGTTTACCACGTAATGCTCTGCTTGCCATCACATCTGACCCCTCCAACAATGCATCAGAGAAGCTGGATAATTATTTTGTGGCCAGCAAAGTTAAATCATACAGCTAAGCAAGGCCTCTCTCTCTCTCTCTCTCTCTCTCTGTCACCCTCTCCCTCTCCGTCTCTCTACTTCTCTGTTTTACTGGGGACTAAGCTCAGGTCCTTCACACTGAACTATATCCTCACCCTTTTAATATTTTGTGACAGGATCTCACTAAGTCACTAAGTTGCCCAGGCTGGGCACCAACTTGCTATCCTCCTGCCTCGGTGCTAGGATTTTAGGCACACATTACCACACCCAGCTTTGATGTGTGCTTTTGAACATTTTGAAGTCCAAGATTTTTTAAAAAACTATTTTCTTTTTGGTACCAGGAACTGAATTCAGACCCTTGTGCTTGCCAGGCAGGTATTGCACCATTAAGTCCAAGATTTTTACCTTTAGTTTTTCTATGTGACCTTAAACAAGACACTTGACTCTTCAAATGTCACTTCCTTGTCTTAAAATGAGAGACAGAAATCTCTATTTCATTCTGACTCTAACATTTCATTGTTTTCTGATTATGTCCTTTTGAAGTGTCCTTTTTTCTATAGTGCAGAAGCAGTTACCTTCTCTCCCAACTCCTAACAAGGAAGATTCTACTCCCTCAGATTGAGGAGAGTTTGCAGTGTGAGCCAGATCGCCCTCACAGTTTACAGCTCTACTGTGCTCTGGTCTTCACACCAACCAATTTACATTAAGAACCAGACACCAACTGAAACTCAAACTAGGGTCCCACAGACCCCTGAACCTCCTGTCATCAACTATTTCCTGGGTGATCCCCTTGTTGTTTGAAAGGGAACTACCTCATGTTTGCCTGTTCATTACTTATGCCTTACAACCAATGCTTTGTCCCCTGCATGTGGAATGCTGCATAAGGAAAATGTTGACTGTTCAAAGTAAATCAGATGAATAGGTGGGGAGCTGAGATGAACATCTGAGTAGATTAGTGAATGGAAGGGAATATCGGCTCACTGGATGTCTGTAAGGATGATGAAATAGATGTCTGAATGGATACATGGTGTACAGGACAAGACAGAGGAATGGGTGGACGGCAAGATGAACAGACAAGTAGATGGATATGTAGATGTGAATGGGTTCTTGGATGTATGATGTATACATGGACACACTGATACAGATATCATGAAACTTAGATGGAATAAAAGATACGCACTTGGTCCCATCTTTACCGCTCTGCACGGTGATTCGGGAAGCCCCCATTTTGGGCTTGGAGACACTTATCCCACTTCTCTTCCAGAGGAATGTAACCTTCTGAATTGTTCCAACATTGAGCTCCACATCAATGCTATTAGTATAACTGGCATCTGGTTTGAGGGTCCCCCTGAAAATACAGACAGGAAACATCAGGTGGGTGTACGAATATCTGGATAGTAAAAAATACTGTTTCTACAAACGATGGCTTCTGTTGTTGGTTTTCTGCAAACACCTGGAACGACTCCATACGCATCTGGGGACTGCTAAACTCAAATATATTTGCATAGAACACATTTGGACTTGAGATTTCTACTGTTTTAGTGTGTCCTTGGAGAGAAGTGACACATTTGGGATATATAATAACACTATCACTCTGCTCCAGGACCAATTGGTGCAGAGTTTTTTCTTTAAAGATGCATGAAGTCATGTTAAATTATAAAAATTAGTGCAAAGACAGAATCTAATTTTACCACGCAGGTTATTCACTCATCACATCTTTACCGAGCTTCTCATACATCTAGCATAAGCCAGGGGATGAGGCCCTCACAGCAACAACCATCCAGCCCCCGGCTTCATGTGCCCCTGTGTGTGGGAGAACAGGGAGTTGTCGTGTAGCTGTACCTTGCTGGAGGAGAATTTGCTGTTCGTAATACCTAAGTCAACGATCAGCACTCCAAAGGGAATTGGTACCGGAGCCACTTTAAATAGTGGATCCTTCTTCCTAGGACTCACTATTTTTATATGTAAAACAGGACAATATTTTAAATTTTCGATTAGCACATGTTTGCAATATACAACAATCATACTCATCACGGGGAGGTGAAACACATACCTAACACACCTCCTCAATTCTCTTTATTTCTCTTCTTCTACTCCCTTCCTGCTCTCCCAAGCTCCAAGTCTCCTTCTCATTCACCACATATCTGTCTCCCTGTTCCCTACTGTCCTTTGTCCCGCTCTTACAATTATTTAAAAACAGGATGACTAAACTAAATGAGAAGACTTCCAGCTCTGACAGTCCAAGATTCAATGGTTCTGCAGAAGAGATGCCTAGATTTATAAGTCAGCTTATATCCAATCTTTTATGACTAATCTATGATGCAGTGTACGGCCTTGTCAATTCACTATAGAACTTACTTGAAAACCTGATATTGTGCTGAGTTTCCGTTCTTTCCCAACAAAGCAACATTGATGTTTCCGCTTGGATCCTTTTCTCCAGATAGTGTGACAGTTACCTTATACCTCCAACCTGGCCAAAGAAATACAATTGGTTCAGTGAACTTGTCTTGTTGAAACAATGACCCCAATTTAAGCATTTTTTTCAAAGCTGTGAATCCCCTCATGGGTGAGAAGTAGAGGTGATGAGACTAACAACTCCTTCCAAAAGATGCAGGATCCAGGAATTGGGATTCTGGAGTGGGGTGAGGAGATTCTGAGGGGAGGAAATACCATAGCTCAGCACTAAAAACGCGCCTTGACAGACGAACAGCGATGCATTACTGCACACAAGTACTCTAAGACATGAGGCAATGGATTCAGTGTTTGTGTATTCCCAAACTTATATGCTGAAACCCTCACTATGTGATAGTTTAAGAGAGAGCAACCTTTGCGAGACAGGGTGGAGCCCTTGCAAATGGAATTAGTGAAAGACACCCCAGAGGTCTCTCTCGCCTTCTTTCTATTTGGTGGGAGGACACAATAGGACAGCAATATGCACCCAACCTGCTGGCACCTGGTCTTGAACGTCTAACCTCCAGCACTGTCAGAAAGGAGTTTCTTTTGTTCATATGCCACTTAATATCTGGTATTTTGTTACAGCATCCTGAACTAAGACACTTGGTTGGACATGGTTTTTTCACTTGGCTTCTCACTTACAATATCTCAGAGAGTTTTTCCCTTCAGTTTGTAGAACTGCATTCTTTTAAAACATGGTTATCACAGTGTTTAATCGATAGCATTGGGGTATTTTCCAGTTGGTGGACATTATGATTTCCCCCTCACTCTTTTGTTATTTAAAACAATGGCACAGTGAGCATCTTTGGACACATCTCCTTACATCTGCTTGGTACATTCTGAAAAGCAGAGGGGTTGGATTAAAGGAATATGCTGTGAGACATCACAGATACTGCTAAGCTGTTATGTTGTATAATAAATACAGGATTAAATAAAATGCTCTAGGTGAAGAGTGTTTTGTAAAGTGCCACATATTTCAAAATTTAAAAGTCTTTTGGTAAATAAGGCTCTTCTTCCTGTACATTATGTGATAGTATTTATACCAAATTGATCTTTGGGTTTTTGCTGTCTCATACTTTTTTGTCAGAAGCTAGATAAAGTAACAGCAACCCCAGAAACGGTGTGCACCTGTGTAGGACTAGTGAGACCACTGTCTCTTCTGAACGTGCAGTAATTTAGCCTCAGTTGCCCTCTTCTGCAGTTTGCAGAACCCTCCTGTCCTCTGGGCATGAGCAGACAGTCTGAAGGCTGTTCACTGTTATTCATTTTGCTGTCAATCAGTTTTATTGATTAGCAAATGCCATTTTATGGCCCTTGCATGACAGCTGAAGCTAGTCATGGCTGAGTTTCTGTCAATTGCTACCAAAGGTCCTGACTAAATGAGGCTGGTACACTTTTCAAAATTATTTGCAACATTTTAAATGAGTAAAATGGAAACTTACGAGTAAAGTTATCACTCGCTCCTGTGTTTAGGAAAAAGGTTTGTTCCACAGCATTGGTTTTTCCCGGATATTGGTCTGCAAAGTGCCCCATTTTTGGACATCCTTTAGCTGGACAAGGGAAACAGCCACTCTGATTGGAAAAAAACATAATTTGTCTGTTAGTAGTGGCCTTTTCATGCTTACTCTATCAATCAATTCATCTTCTCATCTGCATATCTATCTTTATTATCTGTCTATCCATCTACCCACCTATGTCCTATCCATCCTTCCACTCATCCATTTTCCCATCCCACTGTCCACAGATGTATATATCTATCTACTCCTGCACCATCTGCCCATGCTTAGAACTGTGTTAGATCTGCAGAGTACCCAACAAAACACTTCGAAAACTTAGGGTACAATTGGGAGACAGGTCATAAATATGAAGTAATAAATTTAAAATATGAAAGAAATAGCTGGGGATTTAGCTCAATGGCATAAGCACCTGCCTGGCAAGTGCAAGGTCATGAGTTTGATCCCTGGTACAAAAAAGTATGAACGAAGGATGGAAGCAATGCCTCTAGGAAGAAGTAAAGGGGAAGGACAACAGTTATTTTCAAAAAAAGGCACAAAGCAAGATAGTGATCATTTCACTTCAATGTGAGTTATTTCTCCAGACTAATTAGCTCCCATTCAGTGATTTAAAACAGGTGAGGACTTTATGGGACAGTATGTCTTTCCTTTCTCTGTTCTTGACCTCATATGTATCCCAAATTCATGGTGTGCATTCTTTTGCAATTTGGAGAGTATCATACAGGTGATGGAGATTACATTAATACACATGCACCAGTAATAGCCAATACAAAGTTGTTTGCTGAACACTCGCAACCTTGTGAATCAGATGTTAGGTTTCTTTCACTTTAGTTCATCTACTAATGTCAAGATCAAAATTAGTTTTGAAAAGAAAAATGGTAAGTTTAAGGTTATTTTTATCTCTGAGAGAAAGTCTTTTAAAATGTTAAATTTTTGCCAACTTCAGTGTGATAACTGGTTCATGTGAAGATCATCAATAGATACTCAAACCTTTAACTGGGTTCCAACAAAAATGAAAACCATTCACCTAAATATAGGGGAAATAATACTTTTATAATACAGAAATCTGGCAGATACCACCTTAACCAAATAATCAAAACTCAAGTAATCAAATAATGGACAAAGTGCCTTTAAATAAATGTACTGAGGGGCTGAGTTTATGTCAAATGCTACCCAAGGTCCTGACTCAATAAAGCTGGTACATTTTAGTGAGATAGGCTGTGATAGGTTGTGATTGACTGAGAAAGATCTAATGTCACCCATAGAATCACAAAGAAATAATCAGCCAGTTTCAGAGTGTGGGGTATTATATCAAATACTTTGTTGGGACTCTTCATAATTTTCCATGTTCTACAAATCCAAGGGAAAAAAATGGGAAACTGAGATTGAAGGAGATTAAAGAGATGATGTAATTAAAACAAAAGAAATAAAGGAAAGACAGGAAGAAAAGAAGGAGAGAAAAGGGAAGAATGGAGACAGGGAAGGAAGGATAAAAAGAAGGAAAGAAGGTGGAAAAAGATGAGGAAGGAAGGAAACAGACAGTGATAGAGAACATTATTTGGAGAAGTTTGAATGTGGACTATTTGTTAGAGAATATTAGTGTATCGATGTTAAATTTCTTGAGCATTGTTCTACAGAGCCATCTTAGGCTCCTCAGGAGTTAAATGCTAAAGTATTCATGAGTAGAGTATCCTAATGTCTTTAATTCACTTTCACATAATTTAGGAGCAAAGTACACATACATACACACATAGAAAATGTTAGCAGTTGATTCACCTGAGTGATGGATGCAACGGGTATCTCCACGTGCTCTTTTTTTCAGACTGTGCAAACTGCAAGTTGTCATAAAAGACAACTGGAATAGGCCTTGCACAGCCCACTCTGTACCCCATGCCTTTAGTCCACCCTATCCCTGTAGGAAGAAGGGTCTGAAAGTCTCAGCTTTTCCATGACCTCTGATCATTCATGCAAAGTCGCACATATCTTTTGTTCTAAACCATGGAGACAAAACATCAACAGAAGGGCCACCACCATCTTCCTGGGCCCAGTGTGACCTACCTCCTGGAACTCGTCGTAGGAGGCACAGGGGTAGCCCAGGAAGCCTTCGGGGTTGAGGATGCTGCTGTGATAGTACTCGATGCTCCGGTGGTGGTTGCAAGAGATTCCTGGGAAAGATGAGACCATGGGAACTGAACGAGGTCTTTTCCCTTTGAACTGTGGCCCTTTCTGACCTTCCAACTTTTGTGAATGGGCATTTGCTGAGGAGAATTACTGAGGGCCAGCCAAAGCTGTGGAGGGACAAATTTTAATAGTACTTTTTCCAGTGTCCTAGGGGCTGGGCATGTAACATTAATAAGGAGGCTGGGGGCCAGGTGTGAGTAGAGAGGCAGAGTGGGGGCAGGTGGGTTTAGAGACAAGAGACATAGAGAAAAAATAGCGAAAAGACAGAGAAGATAGCAATTGATTTTTTAGAAAATTATATATATATATCAGTGAGAGAGACAGAGACAGAGACAACTAACTGGGTCCTCCTTTGTCTATGAATTCTGTAGTCTTGGACTCAACCAATCACAAGTCAAAAATGTAGTTAAGCCCATGAGGGTTGTATGTGAGCTGAACACATGGAGGCTTTCTCTTGTCAATATTCCCAAAGATAACAGCACATATATTATATATCAACTATTTATATAGTTTACATTGTAAGAAGTATTATAAATAATCTAGAGATGATTTATAATACACAGGAGGATATCTGTAGGTTGTATGCAGACATTATGGTCTCGGATATAAGGATATAAGGGACCCAGGTGGGTTCTGGTTTCTTAGGGCATCCTGGAATACCCAAATGCTGAGAGATGATTGTACATGCATTGCAGAAAGACACACAGCTAGAGACAGAGACACAAAGACACACAAAGATGCTGATAGTAGCTTTTGAAAGGATCATGCATAGCTCTGCCAGTTATTAAAGACCTTGGTTATTTGGTGATTTTTCATGAGAAGCAGGATCCTGATTTCCCCATAGAAACTTTCCCATGTTTCAGGGCTGCCAGTGAATTCCCATGTTAAGAGAAATCCACATGGAGGCCCACATACCACTACAGTAGATTGTGCCACTTACAGGAATGCTGGAAAACTTGTACAGGACAGGCATTTCCCAGGCTGGCCGTGTCTTTGCCTCAGTGCCCAGGCTGAGCAATTCCTTTGCTTTGCTATGCCAAGCACAAGGCAACTTGGGTTACTCTTTCACTGCACTTATAATCTTTTTCTTTCAACCAAAGATGTTTGGTTTGCAAAACTGATTTGTCATTTTTCAGCTACTTGTTGCAAAACCTCCTGTGGAGTAGTCCACAGTAACCCCACACTGGGGACTATTTTAGAGTGATCTGGTGAGCTGTATGTTACACACCTCAAGAAAGAAATGCTCCCCTTTTTGGCCCCAGCGAATTCACCATCACAATTTCAGCACCGCTGTGCCCATGGCTGAGCACTTGCTGCCCAGCCACTCAGGTTCTGAGTGTTTGCACCAGCCCTCATCACCGGGCGACACAACCTGTTTTAAATAATCGCTTCTTTCATCCCAAATTGCAGTCCAGCGAGAAAGTGGATTTAATTGTTCCCAGTGCCCAGCACCTGGTGGCTGCATGCAACACAACAGAACACACTGCAGCATTCATGGGCTTGTTCACTCTGCATTGCCTCACTAATGAATGCTAGGCTCACTCCTGTTGTGTGTGCCCTTCTCGTCATTTCTGGGAGGAGGCAGCTATTATCCTGACTCTGGGGCTCCTTCAGGGCAAGCTGTACTGCATGCCCATCAGTTACCGAATTAGGGCTGAGAAGTCCAAAGTTCCATTTATTTGTTGGTGGATGCTGGTGGTTGCTTTATCCACCGTGCTCTCTGACACTGAGCACACAGAATACAGAGGTACCACACAGGACCCCTCAACTCCATGTAACAGAATATACTTAGTGCCTGCTTTGTGGGAGTCCAGAACTGGAGTGTCTAGGTGCCAAGACATAGTCCTCAGCTGTGGGAAATCCTAATTCAGAAAGATAGAGACAAATAAAATGACTACAGACCAAAAGCCTCCTCCTTCAGGGAGCAGAGTGAGGTGGGGCCTCAGGAGGGGTGAGAAGGTTAAAAGGCCAGAATGTGATCACCTGATGTTACAGATCCTGCTCTTTCAGATGAACAGACACATACAGGGCTCCCCAGGACCCCCCAGACCCCCACTATGCACACACAGCCCTAACCCACAGAACACACCTCTCATCTGTCTTCTGGTCAGCTCAGCTCCCTTCTATTCCTAGCCTGACAACTGCAAACAGCAAGAAGCCACAGTTTCCAAATCTCCGTTCACACTCTGCAGTTCTTCAAGGAACAGATGGTGAAGGGAGGCCAAAGCCAGAGCCAGGTATTTGCCAATGCGCCCATCCAGACCTGTTCCAGCACCCTCACAGCTGGGGGAGATGGTTCAGACTGGGGCACCAGACCAGAGCTTCATCATCAGAAATCAGGCTTAAATGTAGGGTGACCTTGGGCAAGCTTTCTAACTTTTCTGATTCCCACTTCTGCGACTGTGAAATGGGACAGGAGAGTAAGTATCTCATAGCATGAACACTCTGTAAGTGGTGACAAATAAAGAATCATGGAGATTGCCCTCACACAGCCCACTTCCTCCCCAGATATACCAGTTGCTCCTTATTTCTTTTATTTATATACCTGGCAAGATCCCATAGATATCAAGGATGGTTGAGGATACCTGTTTTACATCCAGGCATGTCTTTTCCTCCATTTGGAAAGAAATCCATATGGCCCACCTTTTGGCTCATTCCAAAACCTGAAACATGCAGAGCAGAAGTGAGCAGAGGTAAGGGGTCCCAAGTTACATCATGGTCCAGTAAGATGTTCAACTCATCCCAACAAGAGCAAGAGACTTCTTGGCAAATTCTCCCCTCAGCAAAAGTACCCCTACCTTTACCTGTGGAGAAACTTCTCAGACAGGAGCTTGGCGAGACAAGGAGGAAGGAGACAATACAGGAAGTGAGATGAGAAGGAAGCTGGGCGCTGGGTGAGTATGCACAACTGTGTGTTAGTCCTTGTGAGGCCCTGGATAATCCGGAGTGCTCCAATACAAGGACACAGATAGGCACATATCTGGTGCCATTTCTACTTTTGCTTATTTTTAAATTTTGATGTCCGTATTATGTTGCTATATTGAGATCAAATGACATTAGGTACCACACCATAATAGTTAGGAGCTTTGGCTTTTGAGGCACAGAAATCTGTGATTATGGGCTTCACATAAATTCAGTGAATCTCAGTTCTTCAGCTGTGAAATGGTGATAATATCCACTTTTTAGTGTTATAGGATTAATAAGCTAATGTTCAGTGGACCATCATTATCATCCCCTTTAAAAACTTACCCAGTATTGACACATTTCATGAGTGGATATGTATGAAAAGATTGAAAAAAATGATTTTAGAAGAATCAAATAAAAGAATATATTTAGTTTCCAACAAAAGAAACTATAACCAGAACTTTGACAAAAGAAAAAAATTCAAACACTAATTTTGTGTTTTGTAAGTACAGGTCAAATGTCATTAATAAATCTATTTGCCACTTTGGACATTCATAGATTGGGGAAGGCAGCAGGGTTTAAGATTGAGTGACAGCCCCCTAGGGTATTTTGTTTCACCTGGACCTCAGCTTGATACCATCAGCATTGTGCTGGGTGTTTATTTGGGCTGGGATCCATTTTGACCAGTTGATAGTGATGCCATTCCTATAGTTAGCCTTTTTGAATAGCCTCCTTACCGTGTGTGTGTGTGTGTGTGTGTGTGTGTGTGTGTGTGTGTGTGCATGTGTATCAGTGTTTTGGGAGTGGAGGACTCTTGGACTGAATGTCATCAGCCGTAACCCTGGTCACCAGGCATGGGACTGAGGAACTCACCCAAGGAGGGAAGTATAGGGGAAATATCTGTGTGAATCACATCCACAAACTTGGCATCAGATGGATCCAGCCGAACCTCCTCGGGCGTGTCCTGGAAGTATGGCTCTGCTGGATCCAGCCCTGAGAGAAAGGACACAGACAGGTTGAACTTTGAAAAAGACTTGGATCTAGACCCCTTACTGACAAACCATGCATGAGGATTCCTAGGTTAAGGGTCCCACACCCGCATGGCTATGGCATTTCCTGGTCTGCCTGGGCAAGACAGGAATGGGGACCATGTCTGTTAATATGTGGAAGTCCCTAGTTCCTGGATGCATGAAAGATGTGAAGGGGCTCTTAACACACCTCATTTCCCCTTTTCTATTCTTTCTCACACAAGATATCATCCAGCCGTTGGTCTCAGGGTCTGCGTGCTGTGTGGTCTCACGCAGCTGCTCCCTGGTCCCTGGGACTCTACACTTCAGTGGCTCTGTGGTTTCTTGCTGGTTGGCTCTTCCCTGATACCCTCTCTGTATCTGTATCTTTCTCCTCCAGGACTCAGCTGCAAGATCATCTTCTCAAGCAAAATATAATGCCTTATTTCTCAGCGTACTCTAGCTACATTATATTATCTTGTACTTACTGCTTTCGCTTTGAATTTCATTTGCCTACTTAGTTCTCTGTGTCCAGGACTGGAGGGTAGATTTCCTGAAGCAGGGTCTGTGCCCAGCTCATCTTTAAAGAGAGCAGACAGCGGGAACATCACACGCAGTGACCTATGTTCCTGAGACTTTTGTGGCCGATCTCAACTAGACTCTTTTGTTTGTTTTGCTTGTGCCTGACACAGTGAAGACACCGAAAAATATCTGTGGAACTGAAGAAGCTTTAAAAATCATCACTTGTTTTGTTTTGACTTTGATGCACTTTAGAAATGCTCCCAAGGCCATGAGTTTAATGCGCTACTGTATTTTTCTTGTTTCATAAACCCATTTTTATTTTCAATCACTTATCTTCTAATACACATTAAAATACACAGATGATTACTTTTTAAATGAAAGCACCACCTAGAATCAGCTCCCAGAAGATCAGCAGGGGTGCCCTTAGGCAGTGCAGGGGTCCAGGCTTCCTCTGCCCCTCACCTTCAGCCTCCTGGGTCCCTAGGCGGCACCTCCACCTACCTGTGATCCTGCCCACGAGGCCATTCAGCCTCTTGCCCGCCTCCCCGGCAGTGTGCGCTCCCAAACTGTGGCCGATGATGTGTACATTCTCAGGGGCGTAATTCAGGCTCGTCTGCGGAGGGAGAGCGCGTCAGGCTCCACTGCACTCAGGCGAGGGTCAGGGAGGGGACACTGCCCAGGCCAAGAGCGGCCCCGCTGGGCTGGAGCCAGCAGCAGCGGTGTTGGCCAGCAGCCACCTTAGCACAGGCAGGGCCTGGTGGCCTTGGAATCCCCCGTTGGGAGGATGGAGACTCCTTGGGCATTCCAGGCCCTCTCTCATTCCCAGAGCAGCCTTGGGGAACGAAACCGAGCTTGCAAGAGGTTAGGCCCTCTCAGCTGGGAGTGGATGGGGTGCTGCCTCACCAGGGAGGATGTTTGGGCTACTTGACTCCCAGCCCAGCCTGGTGCTCTGGGTGCAGTGTGGTCCCCCGGCTTCCCTCGCCCCACCAGGACATGGCAGGGCAACAGACCTTACCGAAAGCACTTGCACCAAGTAAGCGACCTCTGCGCCCACAACACGAATATTCTGAGACGCTTGGCTGTATTGGGCCTTAGATCCCCCCTTCCAGTCCACACAGATGCAGTTCACCTTCTCCACTTGGAACATATTCTAGGGGAGACAGAGATGGAAATTCCCACCATCAAGCACTGCTCTGTGAGAAAGTCTTACTATCCTCTTCCCCCATTTCATCTTGATGCTTGATGTGGCAACACGAGCTAGGTATACTCACCCTGCTCAATGGATGGAGAAACTGAGGCTGAAATGGGCAAGGGGTTGGCCTAAGGTCTGATAGATGGTTACTGACACAGCCAGCTCAAAAGCCCACTTGTCAGATTAGGGTTGAGTACACTACTACCCAATAAAATGTACCGGTTAGCTCCTCAGTCGTTCTAGACACTCTCCAAGTACTAGGGGTCACTGTGGCCAGCGGCTCCTGATTTGGATAGCACAAACACAGACCCTTCTGTCATCAGAGCACATTCTCTGGGACGGACGCACTGCAGAGGGCTATATTTAAGCTTTTAAATGAAATGTCAGACGGGATTGTACATCAAAGGTCAGACATGAAAATGTTAGGAAGTGTGTGTAGTCCGCACACCAGACTGTCTGACTATGCTTCGGGTTCCTTTCACTTCAGAGGAGAGGGTTGGCTAGAATTGGGAGGGGGGATTTGGCAGTGGATGCCCTGAGAACCAGGCCTTCCTCAGTGTGTTAAGAAGGGGCCCTGCCTCCTTGAAGAATGTTTCTGTGCTGCCCTCCGAGCCTCAGGAGTGCAGCTGAATCTGTGTGCTGGGCCTTGGCCTCCCAGGGACAGCAGGGTGAGGAGGGTGGACCCCTACCTTGCACATGTCTGATAGCCAGCTGTTCTCTCCACTGTCCGTGAAGCCATGTATAATGAAGCGTGTCTTGCGGTTCAGGTTGAAGTTGGAAGCCTTGATGGTGGCTATGTCAGTGGCCGTGATCAACTAGTTTGGTTAAAAAGATTAGCCATGGGTCTGTTAGTGACATCCCCAGTAATGGACAGCAGGGGGTCCACCCCACAAAGCTGGGTCTCAGTAGACGGAATTCCCTTTTATCTTTCCTTCTAGAATTTTCTTTTGTTAAACTTTAATTTTTATTGCTACATGTTTGCAGTACAGAATGATCACATTCCTCTAGGGGGTTGGTGCATATAAGACAACACATTTTAATTCTTTTTTCATACCCTTTCTGGCTGGGGTATGTGGGTAGAATTCAAGAATGCTCATGTTCATAGACTATTCTCATGAACCTCCAACTGAAATCTAGTGTTTTCTTAAGCCTGAAACTAGGCACAAACCCATTGGAATTGACATCCCTCTGGGTATCCTCAGGTGGAGTCAAGGTGTTTCCATGGCACTTTATAGTAGTAGAATCCTGGCCAGAAGCAGCAGCCCTTAGGCAAGGTTCAGCCCAGTGGAGCCATGAGAATTAAAAAAACGCCTGTGTGCCCATGGTCTTGATCAGGCCAGCAGGCCTTCTAGTTGCTCTCAGGGACCTTATGTCTTTTCTTTTGTGTTTAAAATCATCCCTTTTTCTTCTCCTGTCACTCAGCTCTTCAGGAAGGACTTATGTACCCTCACCGTCAAACTCAAAGGGCTTCTTTCCCCCTCCACTGCCTACTATAGCCTGTAGATAGGACTTTCTTTGGGACCTACCTGGGCTTCTCCAAACTCCTGCTCATACAATGGGGAATAAGATGCTGGCGCTGCAGTGCTCCTGAACATCTGGGCGTGTGTGTGTGTGTGTGTGTGTGTGTGTGTGTGTGTGTGTGTAGGTTTCCAGGTTAGGCATCAGACACTTAAGTGTTTAATATTTTCCAAGACTTCTAGGTCTCACATTGGCAGGGCAGCACCCTCTGGAAAGTTCTAACCCAGTGAACTGTACCCTAGACACCCGTGTGAGGGCTCCAGCATGGGACCTACACCTGCCCACCATGTAGTCATTCCACACCCTTGCTTGGTAGTTGTTCTGATTCTTACTTGGTAGCTATTCTGGTTTTCATTTGTGTACAGAAGAAACCTAGTGTTGATCTTCTTGGGGTCCGAGGGAAGTGACTTTATAGGTCGCTGAGAGGTTCCTGCCCATGGTTTTTCATCTGAGAAGCAGCCAAGGTGTGAATAGCAGACTTCCGCTCCTGGGGTGGGAAGAACCACAGATAAGACACATGTGGTTTTGGAAAGAGGCAATTTATCTCTGTGCAGGAAGACCTTCCAGGTCGGAGGCAGGCCCAGCAGTGGCTGGGGCTGGTCATTATCTTTGCCATCAGTGTTCCCAAAACTGCTGGGGTGATAAGAATCACTAGAAGCCAAGGGATGAATATATATTCTTGTGTGTTCTACACAAATACTATACACATGCCCTGGCCCCTCCTTCCTAGAGTCTCCCTCAGAAGATCTTCAGGGTACCTGCAAACAACATGTTTACTAAGTATCCCTCATTCTCAGGCAGGTCAGGGAGTTGCTGAGCTCCATCCCACTTCCTGAAACCTGCCTCATGTGAGGAATTCCCCGGCGACCTAGTACATGTATATATCATCTGATATCAACAGTTTCTCAAGTGCCCAGGAACTCTGCAGCACAGAGATACTATGCATTCATCTTAACATCTCTGTAATATCCAGGACAAGCTGTCACTTTCTCCCCAGAGGGATGGGAACAGGGTCCTCACCTCTGACAGTGGCCAGCAGGAGAAGGCCGATGGTCCACGCAAACAGCATCTGTGGAGTGAAAACACAGTTACACATCTAGCAGCACCCACAGGCACAGGTATGCGGCTGGCACAGCAGAACCCAGAAAGAGCAGGAGGGTAAAGGTACAGAAACCTAGTGGCCTGGGCCTTGCAGGACTCTCCCTGGGGAAAGGGACCCTGAAGTTGGGACTTCCAAGGTACCACCCTGGAATCCTGGACAGGACATCTTTCATTACAGCTGCTTCTCCTTCCCAAGTCCCTTTCCCTGGCAGCCCTATACTGCCTTAGCCCTGCCTCTTGTGCCCTCTGCAGGCGGGCTGTGATTCAAACGTACCATGCCGAGCTGAACTTCCACTCAGGCCCTGCAGGTTGGCTTTTATAACCAGACTTGATCCTCCGCACCCCTATGAGGAAAGGCCAGGGCAGGATAGGTAGGGCTGCACGTGCTCATTTTGAACCTCAGTTATCAAAAACACATAAAGCTAGTGCAATCTGGTGAGCTGGGCTGTTTAGAAAGAGAGGAAAGGAAAAACCAACTTTAGCAGGGGGGAGGAAGGGCTCTGTTAATCTGAGTTTACAGGTTCAGTTGCCAAAAGATTATGTTCCCGAAGTGATAACAGGAGAACACCGTGCTGTGAAATCTCCCCACCAAAATCACTTCAGACAAGAGGACCCCAAACTCATCTGGTTGCTCTGTTGTTTTTGGCAGACAGTACAGGGATGGGAGCTAGAGGACTTGCTGCTCAGTGAAGGGGATATCTTTATTTATTTATTTACTTATTAACATGTATGCCACGTGCACCTTAGGGATGGAGTTGGGGTCCTGTCCCCCATAAACCTAGAACCTAGACAGAGGCTGGAAATGAAGGTAACCCTGCGGAAAAAGCTATGCCAAAGGGTAAAGCAAGCAGTGTTATCATTCAACATGGTTTAGAATAATACAGTCTACTGCACTTGATGCAATGTAAGAAGTGGAAGGTTTTTTTTTTTTTTTTTTCAAATTGTCTTATTTCTTTCAAAGCTAAGAGGAGATCCTTGGTGAACAGGGAAGTGCCTCTCTCTGGTGTTTTAAACTATAGGAGTATCTCTAGGTTTGACTCATATAAAAATGTAATAGTTAACATGTACAAATAATAAAGCTCCCATTTTAAATATTTTTTTACTATCACATTAAAAAAAGAAAAGGGGAAAAAAGGCATGCTGAAGTTAGATACCATCTGATTTAGATACACCAAAGGGCACTGAGTTTAACTTTTAAAACTTAAGTACAGATTAATAAGTTTTAAGAAATACATACTTTGGTCACTGGCTAGCACAGTCCTTGCTTTAGGCTAATAAAATGTCAAGATGAAGAAACAAATGGAAATCTCAGGCCTCCAGCCCACACAGAACTAATCTGGGAGATATAGACATGGAAAAAAATGAAAGTCATACACTTGAATTCTCCAAGTGGATAGCAACTGAAGTAAAGAAGCAACTTCATGAGACCTTAAAAATAATACATCAGAAATAATATCTCAAGTAAAAGAAGAAATCACAAATATAATGAAAAAATTTCTGAGCATATCTGAAGAAGACATAGATTAATTTAAAAAAAAGATGTGGGGCTGGGGGTTTAGCTCAGCAGCATAAGCGCCTGCCTGGCAAGTGCAAGGTCATGAGTTTGAACCCTGGTACCAACAAACAAAAAAATAAAAAATAAAAACAAGATGAGCATAAAAAATGATGGAAACCTTGAATGAACAATATAGAAAGGGAATTACAATGTATGAAACAGATTCAAAGAGACATCCAGGAAATTAAAAAGTTAATCAAAAGATGGTAAAACCACTTGACAGATTGAAGATAGACTTTCAGACCTTGAAGACAGGATTGCAGCTAGCAATTGTAAAAAGAAAGATATTTTAAAAATAACAAGGAACTAGGAAATAACAATTCAATGGCTGCAAGATGATGCAAAGAAAAATAATTTAAGCATGATAGGTATCAGCAAAAAAGCAGGGGTCAACACAAATGACATGTTTAAAAAGACTGTTTATAGAAGTAATAGCAGAAAACTTCCCAAACATGGGAAAAGGATCTGGCATACAGATAAGTGAGGCCTACAGGACTCCAAATAGTCATAACTAAAGTAAATCTACACCTCAACATATAATAATTAAAATCCCAGAAATTCAGCACAAGAACAGAGTATTAAAAGCTGTTAGAGAAAAGAATCAGATCACCTATAAAGGAAAACCAATCAGAATCATGGCAGACTTGTCAACACAAACCATCAAGTCAAAAAGAGTTTGGAATGAAGTGTTTCAAATTCTGAACGAAAGCTACTTCCAACTCAGATTGATATATTCTGCAAAATTGTCTTTCAAAACTGATGGAAAAATAAGATACTTTCATGATAAAGAACAACTTAAGGAATTCATGACCACCAAACCAACCCTACAGAGAGTGCTAAAGAATATTGTAGAGAGAGATAAAGATGACCATGGTTTGAGGAACAGCAGCAGAAGGGGATCACCAAACAGGACAGGCAATTGAATGAAGGGGAAAGGTGGAGGGCCAACAACAGGAGGATAGCAGGGCAGAGACAAACCAACGTATGCTGACTGTAACCACTAATGTAGATGGCCTCAGGTGAGTAATAAAAAGAAATACAGGGAGAGTGGGTCAAGAAACGAGATTCATCAATATAGTGTATACAAGAAACACATTTAACTTGAAAGGAAATTCATAGACTGAAAATCAAAGGAGAGAAAACAATTGTTTCATGGGCAGGAGACCAGAAAAAAGCCAGGGTAACTGCACATCAACCACAGAATGGATAAGAAAGATATGGTATTTCCGTACAGTGGAAAGCTATGCAGCTATAAAGTAGGATAATGTTGAGGCTTTTGTAGGTAAATGGATGCAACTGGAGTTCATGCTCATAGGTGAAATGATTCAGATTAATACAGATTAACACCGAGTTATTTGCCTAGCATAAAAAACTGAAGGAGTTAATGGGATCCAAGAAGCACAATAGATTTTATGAAAGTGATAGGGGAGGAAATAGCTAGGAGGAGAAGGGGGTAACCATGTTAATTTCCTATTATCTTGTTTTGATTTCTTGTATCATTTTCATAATTTTTTATGTTTGGTTTTATTCTGTCTTGTTTTGTTAGATTTTACTGTGCCTGATGGTATGGGTAGCTATTTTGAAGGTAACGGGATGTATTATGGTAACCATTGTTCATTTCCTATTATCTTGTTTTGAAGTCCTGCAATGCTTTTATTCTTTTGTTTTGACTGGTTTGGTCTGTTTTGTACTGTTTGGTTTTATTATGTGTGAAGAAAACAGGAGACATTATGGTATCCATTGTTGATTTCCTGTTATGTTGTTTTGAAGTCTTGTAATGCTTTCATTCTCTTGTTTTGACTGTTTGTTCTGTTTTGCATTGCTTTGTTTGATTTTATTGTGTGTGGTGGTATTGACAGCTATTTTGAAGAAAATGAGACACATTATGGTAGCCATTGTTGACTTCCTGTTGTCTTGTTTAGAAGTCCTATAGAGCTTGCATTGTTCTATTCTGATTTGCTTTACTGTGTTTTGTGTTGTTTGGCTTTATTCTTTTTAAAATAAAAATTTTTTTAAATGAATATTCTTTTTCCTCTCCTAAAACGTTCCCATCTCCCTGCCTAAAGTAGTCATATTTCAGAGCTCGGTTTATGAGATGTACATCCTTAAGAAAATCTCTCAGTTCTAGATGAGAACTTCCTTCCTTAAGAACATCTCTTTTAACATGTTCCTTATTTTTCTTAGAAAGTGTCCTACTTGATAATTATATTACAGTGATTATTTACTTAGATGTTTCTTTTTGGGGTGGGTAGGCTATCAGAGATTGAACTTATGCTTACCAGGAAAGCACTTCAGCCACTGAGCCAAATCCCCAGCGTGATATTTCCTTGATAGTAGAGACAAGATCTGAATAGTCATTGTCAAGTTGCCAGAGCCTAGCCCAGCAACTGACCTGTAGTACGTGACCAATAAATATTTACTGGATAGAAGTCTCTGGAATTAAAGGTTAATGACTCTTGTTGGTGAGCTGGGTAACTCCCATTTGCCTCCTCAGATTTGGCCTCTGCTACCTCCTTCCTGCTTTCTGTCCAAGGCTGTCTCCCTGGCAGTCTTAGCCTGATTCCTCTGGTTGGCTTTAGGTGAGCTCAGAGAGAGGGAGCATGAAGAGGCTGGAGCACTCACCCAAATCCTGCTCTTCTGTGCCATAGTTGAGCAGCATTTTGGTTCCTTTCTCGAGGCTGCCATCTCACATGACTCCTGTCCCTAACCTCACTGCTTCTTAGATTCATCACCTCTATATCCCCAGACTGTGCTTCAAGTCACAAGGAAGAGTGTTTATTGAGGTTCCTGATCATCTCTGTGAGTTTCCCTTAATCCTATCTGTTCCTTGATTCACCCAAGAACAGGCCATCTTAAGAACCCTGACAGGTGCAGCAGAGAGAGAGAGAGAGAGAGAGAGAGAGAGAGAGAGAGAGAGAGAGAGAGAGAGAGAGAGAGAGAGAGAGAGAGGAGAGAGAGAGATTGCTGATGACATATGTGACATATGATCCATTTAGGGGATTAGCTAGACCTTTTTGCATCTTCCTTTCCCAATTCTATATTGCATCCTCAATGAAGATTTCTATCTTTTTTAGGAGAGGGATTTGGATTCTGTAGTTGTTTGATTTTTGATTTTGCCACCCATATTTGTAACAGCCAACTCACTCTGTGACTTAATTGTGGATTTTGCAGAGGTTTGGTTAACTGGGTGCTTTCAGGCAATTTGTGGATTCTATTATCGCTGCTTGTCTAGTTCCAGGCACAGATTAGGCAAGGAATCAGGGAAATCTTCTCCTGTATGAATGCTCGGCCTTCTCTTTGGCCAATGCTGCCCTGAGAGCAGAGCTAGGCAGAAGGAGGAGAGTTACAGTTCCCTAAGGGGGAAATGATTTCTGTTATTTCCAGGTCATCAGGCTCTAAATGCCAAGAACAAGTCACGGTCACCT